ATAAAAGTAGCAACCATTCTTTATTATTTTTGCCCCTTAACTTTTATGTAGGAGCATTCTTTACTGACGATTGAGAATTAAGTGGTTTTATCTTAACAGAAGATTCTTGGTTTAAGTCCTTCTTACGTCCTTCCACATATTCAGGATAACTCAGATAACCGTCATTATCGGTATCGTCTTCTTTCAAAACTTTATCGATTAATTCTGAAACAAATCCAATGGAAATAATGAAATCAATTCAACAATAATTAGGATAAAAATATTCACCTACGTAATAGTTAAATTGATTGTTATCATCATTTTGATCTGCATTATTGTCATCATCGTGCGAAGTGTGATAAATTGCCTGGAGTATTTCTAATCCATCCAGTTTTGAGTTTTTATCAGTGTCATGAACTTGAAAATAGTAAAACTCGAGTTCTTCTTCACTCATTTGCGACAAATTTGGTTCATTGATTTCATTTTCGAGATGTTCCTGTAACAAGAAGACTCACTCAAAAAAGGTGATGCCTACATGACAGTAATGGAAACACAACGTATTATTACCTATGAATAGTGCAGTCAATTTCGGAAGTCGAGGCCCCGAACTGAAATAAGACGATACAGCTGAAGAATTTAAAAAATGATAAAATATATTGGTGAAGAACAGATAGATTTGATAAGAGTGAGAGACAGAAACTTATGTTAGATGTGTGGCAAGATTTATGGAACAATCAAAGGAAGTAAAAGTAAATGGGGAGTTCGCCTTCCTAAACTGACCCAAGCATATTCGTTGTAATTCTTGGTTTTCATACCTGTAAATGCTCAGTATCATGCAAGAGTTCTTCATCTTGGGTTAATTTAACTTCAGCTTCTCTTTTTGGCCTATAGTGACTATGATATTTAACTACTTTCGATCCACGGGGGTGGTGCGGTCCCCGCTCTTCCGATAAACTCATTACGTATAAAAATATTACCAGCATTGCACTTAACATTTTCTTGTATTGTTTACTAATTAATTTACTTATCTATAATCAAATTAAACCTAAAAGTAACGTACAAGTATTAACTTTCTTAAGCGAAATATTTGCATGTTTATAAATCAAATTGTAGACATTATTGTCTACATTGAAACATAAAAACAAAACAGAATTCTTGACGTATAGGTCATTAAAACAAAATCCAATTTAACTTAACCGAACCTACCGTAGGTACCTCAAGTTATTGAATAATAACAATAATAATAAGTTCTAATGCTTTTCACAATTTTTATGGCTTTTTTTACTGTAGGAAGAAGCACCAGTCGGAGGATTTTACTATATCTCTTTGCAGGGAAAAAGATTGATTAATTATGATAATTATCGATTGTTAATAAATAGAAAATGACCATTTGTCAAGTTTTTTGAAACTTTGGATACTGGTAGTTCTCGACGTGTAGATCAGCAATGAACTCTGCAAAGTGTAGTACACACCTGAACATGATAGCATACTTATGAGGAATGTCCGAAAACATGATGAATCCATAATTTGCAATACATCAACATATGTATATATGTAAGCATAATACGTATAATTACACCTTGGAAGTCCTTAAGGAAGGAATATAATTTTAAGGGAACATATATCTCAAAGCTGAGTCTTTACGACTTAGCGCCCATTGAAGGCTTTTGATCTACACGTCGAGAATTACCAGAATCCAAACAATTTTCCATAAGGATCTTTGATTAAAGTAACAGAAGCTTGGTATCTTCGGAAACGCTGGATACAATTTTTTAACTTTCATTCTATGAAAATGGCAGACAGTATAAAGTTAGTGAGAATAAATGTATGTAGATAAAATATTGAAAATCTTCTATCATTTCATGAGACACTTTCAGGTTGTCTTGTATGTAAAAATTTCCTTGCTCCATTGACGAAACCCGTTCTAGTCTTATCAGCATTATGCAAATGTTTCGATTCCCGATATGAAAAGACATCGGCTCCATTCAAACAGAACCCACAGTTAAGACAATAACAGTGTTCCGCAACTATTATCATCCCCTATTATCTGACGCCCTACAAGTCCTCACTTGGGGATGCGACTACACGAACACACATCTACACAACACGATCAACCTTATGTACATACATACATTTACCCCAATACGTTTTTATTGAATCTTATTGAAATCGAAGTGTTGACAGCGGATCACTAATGACAGGCTAATGAAGGGGCTTTTCTCGGGTTCGAGGGGGAGTGATAACATCTCGAATTGCACTGGGATTTTGTAGAAGTACAGGTCGTCCCAAATATGAACGTTAAAGGTCAACAATAAATAGAAATATCGAAACGATTATCTCAATTTTAGAACTGCGTTGTTAATATACCGAGATACAGGGTGATTGTTATTAGGACTGAGCGATTACATGTTATTCGATTTAACAATCGATAATTGATTGTAAGAAAATCACCGATGCCGTATTGTGGGAATATTGTTATAATTTTGAAATTTTGTCTACAATTGGGACAATCAAAATTGGCAGAGTCCTCAATAAATTATCTGTGAAAATGGACGCATCTTCGTTCTTGTTTCCACTTGGATTTGTATGCATTTGCTGCGTTTTGAACACACCAGGAGGTCAAAGAGAGTCATAGGCCCCGGGCGGCACAAATGTAGGAGCGGCAAAAATATTTTTTTAGGTATTAGATAGAATAAGGTCTGCCTCGCAGTAATGTTACGTTTCCCAATTTCTTGGTATTTGTATCATAATTTTTAATAATTTGTACTATGATAATCAGGATCGTAATGATATAATCTATTTGAAAAATTGAAACTTTTACAATTCTTTACAAATGCTGAGATGAATCCTCAAAGTCCGCTTGCTATTCTGAATTATGTATTTAAATGAAGTACATAAGTTATGTGAGACCTTTGCAATCCCACATGCTTAATTTTACGTTTGTTCCTTATTAAGTATGATAAGTAGACATATTTTGAATTGAAATTTATTATTTTGCTGTAATTTACGAATCTTGTATCGTATGGAAAAAAGCACAAAATGTAAGTCTTTCTGTACACCTTCTCACTGCAACTCCGACCAAATTAAATAAAAGATATTAATATTGGAAATAGGAAGAGCGGTAAATTTAGGTTTCGCCCCGGGTGGTAGAAATTCACGCTAAGCCACTGGAACACGCCCTCGTTAAGTTAGAAAATGCTTCATAAGTAGTAAAAATAAAGTGAAAAGAGATAACCGTATGCAATGGTTAGAGGTTACTTAGATACTTAAAAAATATAAACAGTGTCTTTGTTTTTCTAAATTCCTAAGAATCTTGAATATTCTTTAAAGTTCGATGCTGGCAACTTGCTCAAATTCTCCTTGTCTGCATCTCATTCTGTTGCACATGAATTTATTAGTGTCCGCTGCAATTCCTACCTGACATCTCTTTCTTATGTTTACGATTTTATATATTACGTGAATAAAAGTAGCAACCATTCTAGTCTAGTTATTAAGTTAAAAGAAGAAAGTAAATGCGAAAGTTTTATTTCGGATTATACCAATGTTGAACTATAGAATCTAATTATATTTCCTTATAAAGTCTAAACGAGTTTGTGAATGTGCTCTTTGACTTTAGAGGCGAAAAACAATTCGAGCTTGGGTCCTCCTGTATATATTTTTTAAACAATCTGGTATAGTGTTGGCTACAAGTGCATCGCGGCTGGTACAAAGAGAAAGAGTACCACGGAGGGTGATGAGGGGTGACTCCCACCGAGAGGTCGCTACTCTGTAATTAGCGATAACCAGGGAACAGTTGACAGTTGTTGCAAGAACGCCAAGGGATAAATATGTACCATAGTCATTGTTAGTTTTTGTCTCTGTGATTATAATTTTATATGATGACATCTGTACACTTACCACTAGAAAGTTTTGTAGAATAAAAGTGTTAAATAATCTACAAAACAATTTTGAAAGCCCGAGTGACC